GGGCGGGAGAGGGGGGGTGAAAAGCGTCACGGAAAGGGGTGTGGAGGGTTTGGAGGAGGAGGAGCGGGTACCCTAGTTGATTACGTGGACGGTGTGATATGTGAACTGGGCGAGGGAGGAGCGGTCAAGTGGAGGTGGTCGTGGAGGGTCGATCGACGAGTCATTGACAGAATAGAAGCTGTGATGGTTATGGGAGAGGGGAAGTGAGGAGGAGGCGAAGGAGGAGGGAGGTGGTGGTGTGGTTTTGTGCGGCATCCTGTGAAGGAAGGGAGGTTCTGTCTAATAAGTCCTTTCGCAAAGGGGTTTTGACGCTGAACTCGCCTTACGAGGAGCAGAAGAGTCACAGGGATAATTCCTCACCGGTGTCGCAAAGGAAGTCGCCTCAGCGGTGAGAGAGGGGCAGCAAAGGTACCACACCCCATGGATCCGGAAGAGGAGGCGGAAATGCTGTCCTTGGCACCAGGGAGAGGCGCGGGTGTTCACGAGATGGGCATGGTTTTTATTGGAGAAACCGGCTAGGTTCATAAGCATTTTAAGAAGATGATGATGATGATGATGATGATGATGAAGACGCCGTCCATCGACAAGGAAGTCCCAAAGCGATTATTGGCAGGTATGGCGGGTTGACTGACCCTCAATAAAGCGCTGTGATGATGAATAGACGATCGTCCACGTATTGGAGACTCACGGTGAGGCGCAGGGAGAGGGGGCTTACTGGGTTATTTCGCCAGCGAGGCTGCATTTGACCGAGGAGGTGGACTAGGCGCGGGGAGACGGAACAATGGATTCGGAAGAAGAGGCAGAAACGTTGCACCTAGCAGGTGGGGGGAGAGGAGGAGGAGCAGGCGTGCGAGAGACTGGCAGGGTGCATAAGAAGATGATGAAGACGCCAGCCCAGAAGGAAGTTCTGGAGCGATACTATGCAGGTATGTTGAAAAAAGCTGCACACAGTGCTGTGATGATGATCAATAGGCATGAGCGCCCGCGTGGGGAGAAGAAGACAGAAGGTGCTCTTACTAGGAGTAAGACGAAGACATCGTTTCTTGAATACATAGTGTAGACTCCGATGCGCCGCACAGCGCGAGCGGAACATGCCGATGTGTGCCGCGCAGCGTGAGCGGGACATGCCGATGTGCCGCACAGCGTGAGCGAGACATATGCCGATGTCCCGCACAGCGTGAGCGGGGCATTCCGATGTGCCGCACAGCGCGAGCGGGACATTAGTAAGCATAAGTGAAACGAAGCGTCCACAGTGACATCTTGCAATGTTTCCTTACTGAGAAACGAGGAAGGTGGGGGCGGGGGAGGTTGGTGGGTGGGGATGAGTCAGGATGAGGGAGAGAAGAAGGGGTTTTATGAACACAAGCCTTCGCAAAGGCGTCGTTCTGCGTACGTGTGGTCGTCACAGAAGACTCTGGCTCCGTCTATAACCAATACGTTAATTTGCCATTCAGTCCAACATTCTTTGGCAGTGGAACAACTCCTAGCTCGGTTGGGCAGTTTGGTTTCCTCTCCGCCCCGGAAATCTGAGTTTTGCTCCCCTCTGGAATTTTCGGACCTGGGATATGGTTCTGTACATGTGTCTCGGGGGGAGAGAGAGAGAGAGAGAGAGAGAGAGAGAGAGAGAGAGAGAGAGAGAGAGAGAGAAGGAGGATTGGGTGGCGTGCGGGGTTTGGGCCGATGGATGTAGATCCAACGGTCCGTCGCGAGTCAGGCATTCAGATCTAACGCTCCTGTCGCGATCATAGCGAGTGGAGTTAGTAACGATGTGAATTATGTCGACTTCTTGAGGAAGGTGTGCTGACGATGGCCATGGTCGTGGAGGAAGCCCATGTGGATGACGATGGTGAAGGCAGCGCTAAGACTGTGACGCCAGGGTGATGACGATGACCATGGCGGTGGTTGTCATCATGATTCTGGCTTCGATGATGATGCCTGTGTCGATCAAATGGCGTTGGCTGTGGCCATGCTCTTATTGTTGTTGTTGTTATTGTTATTCATGATGATGATGATGATGATGATGATGATGATGAGGACGAGGAGGAGGAGGATGAGGATGATGCGTACAGGAGCGACTAGCTTTGTTTAACACATGGTAAATGATGCCAATAGTTCACCCACTTCATGAAGAAGGAGCCCTCAGTTTTGCTAGAGAGAGAGAGAGAGAGAGAGAGAGAGAGAGAGAGAGAGAGAGAGAGAGAGAGAGAGAGAGAGAGAGAGGGGGCTAAGGGGGGGACCCAGCATTGAAATCCATCCTTCCGTCGTTTCGCAATGGTTCCAACTAACGAGGGCCGTTGCGATCTCGGCAGCTGATTGAAGGTGTGTCGTCGATGTGTCGCAGTTCTTATTGGAGCAAGTGTTGTTGATCATCCTATGTTGAAATCCGTAGTCGGACGAGGGTTTGAACCCTGAACTTAGGGATTACCAACCTGAATAAGGCTTGCTTGTGCGATTGCAGCGTACCAGCAAGCAAAGCAAATTTCGAGTGCCTTTCGTGCACTTTCCTGAATGAATCAGATCGAAGATATATCCAGATTCCTTGCACAAAGTGCGCGTGTGATTGCCCTCCGTAGAACCGTTGTTCAGCAGCAATCGGCCAGGTGGCCATCCTCCATTCTCCGCCTGCTTTTGTTTTTATTACTAAATCGTCAAACATAAAATTTTATTACTAAATTGTCGAACTAAAAAGAAAATTTTATTATTAAATTGTCAAACTAAAAAGAAAATTTTAGTTAATCTAAAAAGTGTCATTATATATATATGTATACTAAATCGTCGAACAGAACTGGCCGGTAAACCGTATGTATATGTTTTATGTATAGTTAACGAAAATGGGAACAGTGAGGGTGGTCTAGAAATGCGAAATCGGGTGGAGGGGGAGGGGCAGGGGGAGGGGGAAGAGGGCTACAGAAGGAAGATGATGATAATTGATTTTTGTTGGGTTTTCCTTTTTTTTTTTTTTTTTTTTTTTAATYTTATCTACCACCCAGGAACTGTTGAAATACAGACCCAAGTTCGAATCCAAATGCAATCAGTTAAACTCCTTGATCTATTTCGTTGTTCTGGATGCGCAGAGGATAAGTACCCAACGGACACGGTGCGGGCGGAGCTGGCCACTCAGCTTGGGCTGTCGGAGAAGCAACTGCAGATGTGGTTTTCTCACAGGAGGAGAAAAGACCGAAAGGAGGAGTGCAGAGATGATTTGCCAATGGGACCGACAATTGGCGTGCCAAGTAGGCCAACCTCGGGTAATTTCAACTGCAGTAGGCCGTCGCACCCTTCTCATACTACTTATGCTAATCAACCGCAGCAGCAGCATCAAATTCCGATTCAGCAGCAGCAATTACCGCCGTCGGCGGCGGCACAGCAGCAGCAGCAGCAGCAGCAGCATTATCCAAGGCAACATAACCATTGTGGTGGGGTGGCTCCTCTCCCTCCTCCTCTTCCCCCGACTCCTGCTGCTCCTTCTCTGTCACCATTTTCCACCCATCGCTCGCCTCTTCGAGCATCCCCCGTGGGAGAGGATTACCCCTCGCTGGTGCTGGGCTCAGAGGCGCGAGAGTCAAACTTGCCCCCCCCTTCAAACAATTATCTGGCGGAGTACGAGGAGGAAGCACTTGAGATGGACCCGTCAGCGGGCAGGGGTCGAAGAGGGGCAGGAGGGGGAGGAGGGGGAGGAGGGGGAGGAGGAGGGAGTGGTGGGGTGGGAAATGCTGTCATGCCGCCACCAGTGACGCCCCCGGCGGCCGCAAGACCACGTCTATCTTCCATGCCAAGAAGAGTGTCGGGAGTTGCTGGTATTGGAATTGGTGGGGGGGGGATATCAGCAGGAGCAGGAGCAGGAGTAGGAGTAGGAGTAGGAGTAAGTGGTGTAGGAGTAGGAGTAGGAGCAGTAGTAGGTGGGGTAGGGGGAGGATCAGTCGGGGGGGGAGCTGGCGGGGGGGCGGTAGTCGGAAAAGTGGGGGGCAGTTTGAAGAGACGAACATCGTCCCAGCAGCAGCAACCGCAGCAGATGCTCACAGACAATCAGCAGGACCAGGCCATGGCTGGCCCGTCGCCTCTGGCGAGAGATTTGGAGGACGGGGCGGCTCGAGTGGCGGCCGAAAGGGCTGCCATTGCGGCGGTGGAGGCGCAGATGCCTGAGCCTCTCCGTCCCGACGGACCCCCTTTGGCTGTTGAGTTTGATCCTCTGCCTCTTGGAGCGTTCTCGTTCATCTCGGCAAGTGGAGCAGCGGCCTCGGCGCTTGGACCAGGTAGGTACACACGCTGATTGACAACCCACGATGATGATGATGATGATGATGACGATCATATGATGATGATGATGATGATGATGAGGATGAGGATGAGGATGATGATGAGGATGATATCTATGGGTAAAAAACGTTTTCCTGCATTCTCGCTGATATATCTGATTGTTCCGACGGCCATATTAGTTGATTGATCACTAAACGTTTTAATCATTATACGGCCCTTACCACCTCTCTCCTCCGTCCCCTCGTTGTTGTTGTTGTTGTTGTTGTTGTTGTTGTTGTTGTTGTTGTTGTTGTTGTTGGTATTGTTGTTGTCGTTGCTCGCTCGGTAGGCTCTCTCCTTTCACCCACTCTCTGCCCATTTGCCAGCGGCTTATACCGTTTTTCAATCGAGGCAGCCATTTGCCATTTGTTGTTTTGCAGCGCAGAGAGATCTTCTTGTCCTGTGTATCTGCATTTCTGATTTCTGTCCGACGAACGCATGTTGTCGATGGGATAGGAGGGCGGGACGACGATTGTTATCCTGACCCATCTTCCTTTTTCATTTGATTTATTTGATTTATTTATCTACTTACAGTATTTTGCGATCGAATTGGTTGTGTGTGATGCTTGGTGAGTCTTGTCACACAGGACTTGGTAAGTCGTGTGACGCAGGAAGGAGGTTTTTTTTTTTTTTTTTTTTTTTTTTTTTTTTTTTAAAMAGGAAGGAGGATCTCAACTCCTAGTATTTGAATCGAGAGGACGCCATTTGCAACCCCTCTTCCTTACCTCCTCTTCTTGTAAATGCAGGATCGCGGCATTGTAGAGAGTGGGGCTTAAGCAGCGAATCCAGAGCGCGACGTTGTGTGTGCTAGCTATAAGCTTATGGCACGACCGTGCTCAGCAGGACTGCGCAGGCGCAGGGTGCGCGATTTTGTGCTAGCTTGTAGCATGAACCTGGTCGTATTGCTTTGCAGGTTCATGCTGAGACAGTACAGAATGCGCGCTCAAGTCTTCCCGGGGTCTTTGTTCCTTTCCTCGACTGTGCTCTCTTTTCCTTGCATCATCAGACGACGCATCTATCCATACTGCCAAACCACGTTCATGCTGATATAGCAGTAGCGGGGTCTTCGTTAGTTCCTCGACTCTGCGCTTATTTTTTTCCTCAGCACGAGACCCGGCTTCGCATCGACCCGCTTGCCGAAGTTGCCACTCGTTGCTGAATCTCTTTTTTCCCTTTTTCTTGATTTTCTGAAGGCGAGTTAGCCCTTGGCGTCTGTATTAAAAAAACAGGATTTGAACTCGTGATCTGATGTTTATGCGCCGCCAGACCTGTGCCCCATTCAGTCTCGCAGCCTTGTTTCTACTGTTGCCTGCTTCCGTGTTCGTTCTCTGCTCGTGTCACATTGTGTCTATGGCTTCGCTTGTATTAAAAAAGAGTGAGGATTTGAACTCGTGATCGGATGTTTAATAGTTTATCAGTTGGACCGGTGGCCCATGCAGTCTCTCAACCTTCGTTTCTACCTATGGCTTCTTCCGTTTTCGTTCTCTGCTCGTTTCACATCTTGCCTATGGGCTTGCATGTATTAAAAGAAAGTGTTAAGAAAAAGTGAGGATTTGAACTCATGATCTGATGTTTATCAGTAGTTGGACCTGTACCTCATCCAGTCTCTCAACCTTCGTTTCTACCTATGCCTTCTTCCGTTTTCGTTCTCTGCTCGTTTCACATCTTGCCTATGGGCTTGCTTGCATTAAAAAAAATTGAGGATTTGAACTCGTGATCGGATGTTTATCAGCAGTTGGACCTGTACCTCATCCAGTCTCCCAACCTCGTTTCTCCTGTTGCCTTCTTCCGTTTTCGTTTTCTGCTCGTTTCACATTGTGTCTGGGGGCTTGTTTGTTCTGCGCACACTCATATCTTCTTGAAGGATCTGTTTCTGTGTCTGTTTCTGTGTCTGTTTCTGTTCGTCTTTTCCCCTCCCTCCCCTCCTCCCCCTTCCCCTCCCCCCCCGAAAGGGCGGATCTTTGTTTCTTTCATAACACTTCCAGCTATTGTTTTTTTTCTTTTTCTTATGGTCTCTTTTTCCCGTTGGGCTTGTTCGTCTAGTTTTTGAAAAAAAAGTGAATTCCACCCTCCATACATTTCTCCTTCTCCGGTGGGTGATCTCATTTCAAAGCAGACTATCACTCACCGTCACCAGGTATATACAACCGCCACGTTTTTTTAAATATATATAATATAATTTTCACCGGGCAGTTAGTTCTCTATGCTGGTATATTTTGTCTGCAGAAGTTGGCCCGATTTTTCAGGATCTAGCGGTGGATTAATCGTCTACCGCACGATCTACACACCATCCAGTAGTAGTGTACCTCTCTCTTTCGCTTTCTCCTTCGCTGTCCCTATCTCGAGAGGAGAGAGACGGTTCACATAGATCCATTCGCTTGATGCTTTTTGAAAAAAGAAAAGTCCTCTCTTGTCCTCCGTTGTGTTCCTCTCTCCATCCTTTCCCTTCTCCCTTTTTCGGTCGTTCATTTCTTCTTCTCGGCCACGATTTTTGTGGGATAATCTCCCCCCGCGGCCCCCCTTTTTTTCTGGATATGCGAAAAAAAAAAGAAAAAAAAAGGGAAGGCTTCCCCTCATCACTACAAGTTACTCGGTAGGAGGTCACAGTGGGTGCGGCTTAGGAAACACGTTCATGCAGTGCAATGAGCCTGCTCTCCTCTACTTTTCTCGCTGCCCGACCGCTTCCACGTCCACCTCTCTATCATCCTTGTGTCAGCCTCTCTGTCCTCATCGGCCTCCCTCTCTATCCACATCTGCCTCCCGCTTTGTCCGCATCTGCCTCCACTTTGGCCTCTCTATCCTTCTTTAATCACATTTTTAACTCGCCGTTCCTTCTCCGACTTGCGCATTCGACCGTTTACCATGCGTTTTTTAAATAAAGGAGATTAATTTCTGTTGTATGCCCGTTCTTCTCGATGTCTCCCTGTTCGTGATTGCCCGTTTGTCTCTGTTTGTTGTTCTGCCTCTCAATCTCTGCTTTTCTCTTTTTCGAAAAGGCAGTATGCTTCTCCCCTTGTCTCTCCGAGTCTCTCTTCCCCTTTTTTGTTGGTGTGTGCGTACTACATTTGTGTTTCCGGCATGGTTTGAAAAACATCGATTTCTCCTTAAAAAAAAAACAAACAAACATCGATTTCACAAACGACACAAACGGATTCCAGGAGGGGGAGGGGGCAATGCTATATCAGGTTTGAACAGTAGCAGCCGGGGGGGGGACCCTTTTCTTTCCCTTCTTTTCTCTATCCGTGAAAAATTCTCTTTGTCCCTCTTTTGCAACGTGATCCATGCAATCTCCCCAATGGACAGCCACCCTCCCTTCCTTTTTCATTTGCTGGGGGATTTTGAGCCCTCAGAAAGAACAAACAGGCTGCCTGCTCGGTATACAGAATCCATTCGTCACGCGGCTTGTTTTCTGCTCCTCGTCGTTGTCCTCCTCTTGCTTCTCTTCCTCTTCGTGGTCTTTCTCCTCTTCACACCCTCGTCGTCCTCCTCTTCCTCCTCTTACTGCTCTTCCTTCTCTTCCTCCTCCTCTTCCCTCTCTTCCTCTTCTTCCTCGACTTTTTCCTGTTCACCTCCTTTTCCCACTTTCTCCGCTTCCTCCTCTTCCTCCTCTTCCTCCTTTTCTTTCTCCTCCTCCTCTTCTCCTCCTCCTCCTTTTCCTCATCTTCCCCTTCCTCTGCCTGCTCCTCTCCCGCTCCCTCTTCCTCCTCCACTTCCTCCTCCACTTCCTCCTCCTCTACTCCCTCCTGCTGTGACTGGGCGTCGGGGACTGAATTGCCTTCATGGGATTGGGAACCTCGACATCGTTCTGTTTGTGTGCGTGGGAACAGCGGCATACAGCTTCTTGCATTGTGACCGCTCTCCTTCCTACGTAGCCTCCTCCCCGTTGCCCCCTTCTCCTTTCAGGAAACCGTAGCATAGAAAAGACAGAGAATTGAGAACATCCACATTTTGCGTGATGATGCGGGGAGGCCGTGCTCTCCGTGCAGATTTGGCTGTTGTGTACCCACCCGCCGTAGACTGAGCAGAGGGCTTGACTGCATTCGCGCCTTCGGCCTCAGTAAGGCACGAAGAATACACTACACGAGCATTCACCACCGACAAGGGCGCCTTTGGCGCTGGCGAATATGCAATCACGGGATCGGCCTCCCTCGATAATGATAATGAGATTATGTTATTCCGTCGTACCTGAGGGTATACGTACTCACACTAGGAATTTTCCTACTAAACCTGGCTGTTATGTCGGTCAGGGACATCCAGGAATGTCCGAGTTTGAGGATCCGCTAAGCAAATATGAGCGCTAGTCGAGTTTGCAGAACCGACCAGGTTTATGCTGAGCGATCACAAAACGGAACAGCTTCTACTCTGCTGCCCATGCTGTCCGTTTGGGAAGAGACAGGTGATGCAGACTGCAGGGAGTCATGGGTTGGCTGTATTCCCTGCACCAGTTAGATCCGTTTGAGGACTTGGGTCGGTCAAAGTTGGCTTGGTTAGAAGTCGACTGGTCAAAATTGAGTGGCTCCGACTGGCTCGGTTAAAGTTGACTTTTTTTTTTTTGGAATAAGTTAGATCCGTTTGAGGACTTGGGTCGGTCAAAGTTGGCGTGGTTAAAAGTCGACTGGTCAAAATTGAGTGGCTCCGACGGGCTCGGTTAAAGTTGGCTTTTTTTTTTTTGGAACAAGTTGGCTGGTCAAAATCTAGTGGGTCAAAGATGGCGGCGTCAGAGTTGCATTTGCATGGTTGACTCACAGGTACGTGATCTATGAAATGCCACAAATATGCCCCTATAAGTCATCTGGTCTACTTTTTGTTCAAGGAACGTGGGGATGCGTTCCTGGTTTGTGGGAATGCTGACCTCCTCCCGCGTTCTACTCCCTCCTCCTCCTCGGTCCTTGTCGTCCTACTTCTCCTTGTCCTCCTCCATCGCCGACTGTGTCAGCAGTGGGATCAGAATCTCTGATGCATCTCCACGCTGACACCGTGCGAATCCACAGACAAACAGAATGGCGGAACGACACGTCTCACATGGGGGCTGCTGAAATGGCAGCAGCGCCCCCCAAAAAATGCGAACAGCAACGAATCTCCAATGGTTCTCCGCGCGACAGCTGGCATGATGTGATGCGAAACCTGAAGGTAAAACCTCTGGCCCTCGAAGCACAAAAGAAATATCTTGCGGCCTCATGGGGAGCGGGACCCGAAACAAACGCATGCTGGAGCGCCAAACCCAAAATGGGAAAAAAAAAACCGCATGATGCTGGGCCCATAGAGCATTGCCAGAAGGAACCTGCAGGACAACACTTGGTATGTATTGTGCTCCCGTCTGTGTGCACTTCCAGGTATATTTTGAGAGAGGCCTTGGAGGACACACGACAAATTTTGAGGGGGCAGCCGAGTGAAAAACCATTCTATCTGCCCTGTTTGTCTGTTTGTGTACTTCTCGTTAGTGAGATGGGCTTCTGACAATTGGCGTGATTTGTTTGTTGTGTTCTTGAACGAACGAAATGGATGGCCGATTGCTGTCAAGCTATATCCTCAGATTCAAAAAAGCGGAAGGTCCTGTCTAAGAAACCGGAGGGCTTGCCGAATGAAGACCATGATCCTCGTGAAAGGAAGGATGCGAAGCCTGCAGCAGCTGTTAAGGTATGATGTGCCAGTGAAGTCCAGAAAGTACCTGTGTTTGGGTTTCTTGAGGAGGGGGATATGAACGTGCATTAATTCCAGTTCACGAAGCAATAATAACAACAATCGTGAATAATGGCCACACGTAAGCGGAGGGCTCTGTCAATGGAACATGATCCTGGGAACAAGGATGCAACGCCTCTGCAGTTTGTCGAGGCATGATGATGTGGTGGCAATATTGAAAGCAAGTAGTCAGCCAAGGTGTGATGATAATGTTCTGGTTAACCCTCCTGCACCTCATGCTTTGCTTCCGTGCTTGGCATAATTCCTTCCTCGATTGACATTATGCATTGTTGGGTTGGGTGTTGAGGTTTCTGTAGCATGTGAGTTCCCTTTGTTAATGCTGATTGACCATTTGCCCTGAATGCTTGATTCCACTCTGCCCTTTTCCCTAATCTGTAACCCTCCCCCCCCCAACCCTCTTTTGTTTTCCCTCTTCGTGTGTGTGTGTGCGCGTGTGTGTGTATGCTTGTGTGTGTGTGGGTGTGTGGGTGTGTGGGTGTGGGGGAGAGAGAGAGAGAGAGAGAGAGAGAGAGAGAGAGAGAGAGAGAGAGAGAGAGAGAGAGAGAGAGAGAGAGAGAGATTGGTGGGTGTGGGGGAGAGAGAGAGAGAGAGAGAGAGAGAGAGAGAGAGAGAGAGAGAGAGAGAGAGNGAGAGAGAGAGAGAGAGAGAGAGAGAGAGAGAGAGAGAGAGAGAGAGAGAGAGAGAGAGACTCTTCCTTGAATGTTATTTGTTGAATGAGAGAGAGAGAGAGAGACTCTTCCTTGAATGTTATTTGTTGAATTTTGTTCTTCCTGCTCTCATGGGTGCTCTGACCTTAACTCTTCCATGGAGGAGAGGAGGTATGTTTTTTTTTGTTTTTTATTTTTATTTTTAATTTGGACCATTTCTCGATTTATGCGTGTCATCGTTCCAATTTTAATGGATGTCCCGAAGGACAGGAGGGATGTAAATTAACAAATTCAGTTTGCAAATTTCCACATTATGATGTATGAGCCACTTTCAAGTTTCAAGAGTTGGATGAATGTTTGGTCGTTCTGAACGAAGAAGAGGAGAAGGCTCTACCCATGTGGGAGAGAATTTAGAGGTGTGGTTGTTTTTTTTTTAGTTTTTCAGAAAGGTTGTCAGCTATGAAACGCTTGTGCCTGAATGGTACACGAAGTTAGGATTTGATGTGAACAGGTCAAGAGCTCAACCTCTGTGGAGTACAATGATGGCAGGTGTTACTGTAATTGGTACATAATCTTAGCCATTGATTTGAACAGGCTAGATTCTGTTGAATTTAATGATGTCAGGGGTTACCCTGTTCGGTGCACAATAGCTGTTCATGCATACAGGTCAAGAGCGCAAACTCCCTCGAGTATAATGATGTCGGTGGGCACGCTCGTCAATGAATGCAAGAACCCTGGCCTTGAGTGCAATGTCTACGTCTTTGGAGGTGGCACTAACTGCTTGATGATTCTGTGCTGTTGTTGTCTGCTTGGTTGGTTGGTTGATTGATTGGTCACTATGTGCAGGGTGTTGCTCAGGCATTGCCCAACAACAAGGTCGTTAGCCCTGTGCCACCGCTGGCCAATTCTACAGCCCCCCCTCCAGCTCCTCCCTTAAAGAAGGTTCCTTTGTCCCAACCTCCAGGAAGAGGGGTTGGTGGGATGGGGCCGTCCCTCGGAAAGGCCCTTGTCCGCACAACACATCAAACACCTTCTGGTTCTCTTGTTGCACCGGGTAAAGGCTCAGGCCTGTCTTCCCTCACACCTCCATCGCCATCAATGCCCCCCCCTCCCTTGGCACCACCAAGCCTCCCGCCACCACCTCCACATCTTCCCCCTTCCAGTGCGCATCCGTCCACGTATGGTAGTGATTTTGTGCATGATCCTGCTTCCGCAGATCAGGGATTTCCAAATGTGGCCATGGAACATGGCGGGTATTACAACTCCTCTGGTTACGGTCCTGGCCCCGATCATCCCTACAGTCATGGTGCTGCAGATATGCAGCTGTCAAGAAGCCCCCATCTGCGAGAAGCGCAAGGAGAAGAATATATGTCACCCTCCTCTCAGGATCTGTATAATGGACAGTATAGGACTGTGCAGGGAGCTCTGCACAGGGCTGGACCACCTGGGCAATATGGAGTAGGTGGGGGGGGTGCAAGACAGTTGCCTCTGCCACAGGCATCTGGTGGAACTCCTCCTGGTCATGGACTCGGAGTAGGAGGGGTAGGGTTAGGAGGGGTTGATATGCAAGGGGTGGGTGCTGGAGGAAGGCCAGTGGGTGTAGGGCGTATGCGTGGGGTCGGGGTGGCTATCGGTGGTGGTGCGGGTGGTGGAATGGCAAGCATGGTGCTGGGGCGTGGGAGGGGAGGAGGCCGAGGGCGAGGTGGGAGAGGTGGTGGAAGAGGAGGTTATGGTGACGAAGGGACAGAGGATGGGATTATTTCGGCGAGAGAGATGATGCCTGTGGGACTTTCACCCACACATTCTACAGTGGCATTGACGACAGTCCCCATGGGTGGACAGGCAGGGGCTGCCGGCATTCAAATTGATGATGCTGCCATAGCTGCTATGTCGCACCAAGCAGCAATGGAGGCTCATGCAAAGCGCCAAGCCGCAGCAGCAGAGAAGCTCAGACAGATGGAGCTGCAGGAACAAATTCGATTAGAACGAAAGCGGAAGGTCAGTGGCCCACATGAATATGTCCACAGGTGCATCGTTTGTGCTTTGGCACTCTCTCCCTTTTCTCTGTGTCTTGCCTCCTTCTCCCCTCTGCCTGTACTGTGATGTGGAGGGTTCAAACAAACATAATCCATTTCTTCTGCGTGGTCTTGAAGTTTCATGCTGCTGCATGCTGCAATGATTAAAGACGACTAGATCCTAGATTTCCTGAAAGATATTGAAATAACAGTAGCTCCCCATCTGGCTGAACGGTGCACACGTAACTGTTAGTAGACGTATCATTAGTTTGAAAGTGGTATCCGTATGGAATCAGATGGATACAATAATGCCAGGGACTATGCCACCTTCATTTGAACACAAATTACCTAGGCTCCCTGGCTCGCCCGGCCGTGCAGCCCGGGCAAGTCGCCCGGGGGTCACCTGCACTTGGTGTTTTTTATTTCTTTTTTTGGTGGAGGTCTTCAGCACATGGGCAGAGGAGCCAAAATCCAGGCTCCTTTCCTTTTTCAAGTGTTCGGTCAAGGGGGGGAAAGGGGGGTATAAATTGGTCTTTGAGGGCCGAAAGGGGTCTAAAGGGGCGTGCCTTAGTCTGATTCTGTTGTTTCATTTTTATTTCCGATTGCGTGGCTATTTCAAAGGTGTCCCTCAGCCAAAGTCGTTTGTATTGCAGTTCTACGCAACATACATTTTGATTTTTTTTTGTTTTTCGTTTTTTGGCGCTGGGGCTGCCCGGAAACCCTGCGTGGGGTTCATGCCCGGCCGGGCACCCGGGCACGCATCCGGGCACAAGTGGGTTGTCTGGGCGCCCGCCCCCCGGACTAACAGCCTAGCAAATTACTCCCTCCCCCTCCCCCTCCCCTCCTCCTCCCCCTCCCCCCCAACCCCTGCCAATCCAAAAAGAAAACAGATTTCTTTGTCTTTGCTGTCTAAGAAACCACGTACATGCATGTGATGAAAAGGTGCTGGGGTTCTCTGACTGAACACTTTGGTCTGAAGTCTCGAAGGCATGTTGCCTGACTGTCTTACCCAGGATATCCATTTGGGTGGGTGTTAGTCGTGATGAAGTCATGGTTTAGAATACTTCCGAACCTTGTCTACTGAAAGGATTCACGCTGCAGACACCCGAGTTCCGGTCCCAGAAGCCCGAAGTGTCCCAGTCCCAGGCTGTCCTGGTAGGATAGGCCGTAGGGTCCGTAGGCTGAAGCATCGTAGGTTGGTAGGTGTCGGTACCGAAACGTCATAGGCCGGTAGAAGTCCGTCCGGTACCCGACAAGAAAAAGTCCAGTCCAGGCCAACAGTCCCAACTCCAATTTTGCAGCATGTCTCAGGAAAGTCCGGAGGGTACCGGACCGACAAAATGTTTGCAGCAGACAGGCCGCGGCCGGCCGGTACCGGTCTGAAGCAGGCCAAGCCAAGTGAAGTCCTATTTTTAGCTGCTACAGTGCAGCGGCTCATCACTTGTTCAGTTGCGAGATGCGGAAACGCTGCCGCTGCTTGTGCGTTCAAGGCAAATTGGGCACTCGCACCTGAAGAAGAGGAGGGTGCTCACGAGTTACTCCATAGCTAGGTTAAGGGGTAGCGCAGGAGGAGGGCGGCCATAGCTGCCATGGTGTGAACAAAAAGAAAAACAAGAAAAAATGAATTCAATTTTTTATCTTCTTCCTTATAACTCCCCCTGTTCAGAACCTCTTGCGTACAAGGCCCCACGTGGATGTAGGTTGAGCGTCGGCTGCCCCCACCCCCGTGTGTCATATCGACCCACTTGCACACAGCCAAAAGGCAAATATGCAAAGAAAAGAGGAAGTTAACAGCCAAATAAAACAGAACAGGGGGCAACAAAACAGATCCCAGATGACAAGTCCCACATGCAAGCACCGCCCCAGCACACACAGGCCAAACGACGTGACAAGGCCAACCAGGATGTCAAAACATTCTTGTCTGCAAAGAAATAAAAAAAAGTCCCAGATACATATCTATACACAGCAGATGGCCTTGTTCGACGTTGGAATTCCTATTCGGCGTCATCGTAAGCAATTCGTACCACGACATCATAAAAAACAATCCTAGATGATGATTCCCACATAAAAGCACCGCCCCCATGCAGGCCGAACAACGGGAAACCACCAACCAGGATGCCAAGACAATAAAAAAACCCTGGATCACTGGTCCCACATGAAGCACCGCTATGCCCGTGAAATGGACTGAACAATGGGACAAAACCAACCGGGATGCAGACAAGGTTACTACACCACAACAAATCTACCATATCCGTAGTCAAAAAAACGGAACCATTCAGTAGGCATGCAAAACGAAACACCCCAACAACGGGGAAGAATGAGCAACACAAAAAAAGGGATGATAGGACGATGAGTCAAGCTATTTTCGATGTAAATGAATATCCTGATGAGTCGGTGAAACTCCGACGAAACAGTTTGTCACAGCCCCTCGTTTGTTGTCCTCTTCTCCCTCTCTGCCTA